GTCAGCCAAGCTGGGAGACGGTAAAGGCAAGACAGAGAAGGCGTCAAGCCCTGGTGCGTAATTCAAAATGGCGGAGTTGGGCTGGCTAGCGTCTGTGTAATGGACCGTGTGTGCAGGGTGTGAGTTGTAATGGACCTTATATAAGCAACGGTCAAGTCTCGGCATCGAAGAAATGAAATGACTCTGAACCTCTCATTCTATCTTCTTCTAGCTGCCTACCTCGTCTCTCCCCCTTCCCAAATCCGAATCCGCGCCGTAGTTGATCAATGTCGATCGCCGGCGAACCTTGCTGCGGCTAGGACGTGACACTGGGTCAAGACTGAGCATCGCCTACATCACACATTAGTGTAGTAGTTTTCTCGTAAAATATCAGGTTAGTTCAGGTTGAGCACAAATGATCTTGGCACTTGTTGAGTGTTCGGCTTGTTGTGCATTTTGCTGATATCTCTCTAACGTGAGTGACCTTGTAACTTGTTATCGAAGTGAGCGCCCATTGCCTGATTAGGGATCAGCACTAGGCAGATACAGCACAAGTTTCCTTGTAATTTCTCCGAACACCTAGCACGCATGAGAAGATCTTGGCAAGAGAGAAAAAGACGCGCGCTGACCTACACATAAAGCTCTAGACTACCCCTCTTCGAGCGCACTACACAGCAGAAAATAATCCCGGGCAGCGAAAGCATCACGCCCAGCCGCCACGTCAAACAGCGGCTTGATCCAGGGAGGGAGCGAAGCCAAGAGAAACGGTTAGCGCCTGCGCGTACATACCAGCGCGTTGAGGTACTCGGCGTGGCCCGTGAACTCGGCCTTCATCGCGGAGCACCCCGCCGAGGCCGGAGAAGCCGCCGCGTCCGTGGCCATTGTCCTGGACCTCTTGGTGGCCGGGCCGGCAGGAGACGCTGGAGAGAGCAGCAGACAGTGAGAACGCGGAGAGGGAGCGAGAGTGGGGATGAGGAGGGAGGGGGATTACGCGAAGAAGTAGTGGTGGGGCGAAGGGTTTTGCAGCCGGGTTGGGGCGCCGCCATGGTGGAGGGGAGAGGAGGCCGAAGCGAGGAGGGGAGGCCGCGCAGGTGGACGAGGCGGTGGCAGACGCGTAGGGGCACCATCTGGCTGGCCCGTCCCACGGTTTCGGCGCGGCTCTTCCGTGGCTGCCTCTTTTCATGTGTCTAGACCATTTTTTTTTACACACGACGTACGTTCATCCGGCCAACCAACATGTGGTTGTGGTTAAAAATAAAATCAAAAGGACAGCCAAAATGAGAGGGTTTTTCCCCTAGGTCTCGCGACTAGAGTTTTCCAGTCCTCCGGTGGCGCCGCCCGTGAGTTCCCCATCGCCGACGGGTTGATCCCGCAAGTCAGATTTTCTCCTTCCCCCGCATGTCTCCTGACCCCCTCAAGGTTGTCCCTGGGAGAGTCGGGTACGCGGAGTAGGGTTTTGGTTTTCAAACGCCGTCCACGGACCGCCATGACGGAGACTGGTTCGAGTAGTGGATCAAGAGATCGGAGGTCAGAGGAAGCAGCGAAGCTCCTGGAGAGGCTGAATCTTCAGGATGAGGAAATAGATGATCTAATGTGGGAAGATGACATTGATGTTGAAGAAATCAAGCCAAAGTGGCTAGCCCTAGGTCGGCTATTGACAACAAAAAGCTTTAGCCAGAGCGCGTTAATTGCGGATATGAAAGTAGCCTGGAACCCAGCGCTGCATGTGGTTTGGAGGAGGTGTTGACACCAGATTTTGGCACGGCCAAGAACTTAATTAAGATGGCCTCAAATAGAGAAGCGCTCAAAATGAGAAAATTCCGTATCGTCAAAAGGGAAAACTTTGATATTTGGGCCATAGTCATCCGGTCTCATCTCTAAGGCCGAAGTTGTGTTCGAAGTACTCAGATTTTATATTCAGAACACTATTCGGCTTATTATGCCCCCAAGATGGCCTCATATGGGAAAAGTTTCTACACGAACTGTCTTCGTCTAGTCGAAACGATCGATTTTGATATAAGAAACGTCTAAATCGGAGTTCGTATGCAAAAGTTATAGCCAAAACGGTGTGCTGCAAAAGTCTGCCCCAGAAGTTCCGGGCAAAACTTCCGGGGAGGTTCCGGGCAAAACAGAAACTTTGCACGCGGTGCGCCCCGAAAACTGGAATTTTAACATTATTTGCAGATTTACGGGGCCGATTTCGACATCAAGATGACCTCGGATGAAAAAGTGATCAACTAAGGAATTTTTCTTCATTGCAAGATCTACAACTTTGCTTTTGGGACCGTCGCGATCCGAAGCCATATGCGACCTGCAGGAGCTGTGCAAGAGGGCTACTTTATGTAATTTTAGCTCGGAAGTTCCGGCCCTCGTGGTCCGAGTTAGGTTATCTTTTGATGTTTTGGACGGGATTTGAGTCCTTTTCTTGTACGGAAAGTCCAGCCGCCTCATATATATGTAAGAGGTGACGACCGATTGAATAACAACACACAATCGCAAAACACATCTACTTTTTACCCTAGTTTTACATCCCTCCTTTGTTCTTTCTTTCTCGTTCTTCGTGTTGAAGGGCAGCGATCCTCGAGGCTCTAGGGGCGGGCGAACCGACCTAGGGCAGCCCATAGCCGCCGCACGTCCAGACGGGGTCCCTCCCGGGCGCGTGGGGTTTCGGGTCCTGAAAAGCACCTACCGGATTGCTTGCGTACCGCGCTTCCGGACGGGTCTCCTTCGGCGTGAGCTGCGGTGCATCACTCTCGGCGTTGGAGGTACACGGTGACTTGTTCGTGTGAGAACATACTTTTTGGCGACTCCGCTGGGGACGAAAGATCAAGAATCATCATCAACCATGTCTAATCTCCCCAAGCCCTCAGAAGTTGACGCCGATAACATCATTAAGCCCGGTCTTGATGAACTATCAGATGAACATCGCCAAGCCTACGAAGCACGCAAGAAGCAGCGTGAAGAGGTTTTTGAGGCGCTCAAGAAGAAGCGCGAGGAGGAGGATTTGGAAGCGTTTCTTTCAAGTTTCAAGAAGGACCGTCAAGGCAACATCACTCCGGCCGGAAACGTCAATTTTCCTCCCCTCATTGACGAACAAGATGTGATCACTGTGAGTAAAGTTTTTTCTCCAGAGCAAGTGGATGTGATTGAAAGTCTTGTTAGTAAGGGTAATGTGATGGCATACAATTCTTTTGTGGCTAGTGCTAATGCTCAGAAAAATATGCCTCCATCATCTAATGGTACTGTCGGTATATCCGAAAACCCTAATACAATTTTACTTATTTCATCGGCACCACCTATGCAACAACAATATAATATGTCGTTGAATTTTTACCCTACACAAACCAACCAGCTTGTGGCTACACCTACATACCCTAATCCTATTATGAGTGTGCCCAATTCGGCGTCAACGCCGAATCACTTTGTCACACCACCCATAGGCGCAAGCATGTTTGGTCTTCCGCCGAATTATGGTTCGGCGCCCATCTCACAAGTTGCACCAATAGCTAGTACTCAGGTTGCTCCTATGTCATTGCCACAAACATCTTCATCTACCTCGGATCCAATTTTAGCTAAATTAAGGGAGGATTTGCATAAGATGTTTCTAGAAACTTTCGGAAACGAGCCGAAAGTAAAGAGTCGTGTGTACCAAAAGCCTTATCCTGAACACTTTGATGCAATTTCTTACCCTCAAGGTTATAAGGGTCCTGATTTTGTTAAATTTAGTGGTCAGGGTACGAAAACGACTTGGGAACATGTGAGTCAGTATCTAGCACAGTTGGGTGAAGCGGGTTCCATAGAAGAGTTGAAAGTGCATTTATTTCCCCTGTCTTTAACTGGCACCACATTTTCATGGTTTGTTGCTTTACCACATGGTTCAATTCTCTTATGGTCGCAATTAGAGCAAAAGTTTCATGATCACTTTTATAGCGGCGATAATGAGCTTAAGTTGTCACATCTTACATCGGTTAGGCAAAAACATGATGAACCGGTCACCGATTATGTCAAGAGATTTAGATATATAAAAAACCGATGTTATAGCTTAGTGATAACTGAGAGAGACTTGGCGGATCTTGTTCTTAATGGTTTGAAAACTCACATTAAAGAGAGGCTAGAAAGTTATGAGTTTTTGAGCATTAATCAAGTCTTACAAAAAGCTTTGGCCCAAGAGAGTCGAAGTAAAGAGGTCCATAGGTCAACAACCGGTCATCCTAGAATGCATATGATTGAACACAATGATGATAATTCAGACGATGAGGTTGATGTCTATACTACTGAATTTGTTTGGTCCTCAAAGGCCAAACCCTATATGTGCAATGCTCTTAAGCCGATTCGCAAGAATCGTGATGAGGAGATGAGGTTTACTTTTGATATATCAAAGTGTGATAAAAGATGCTCTCTTGCAAGATAAGATGATTAGAATATCACACACCATACCGCCGTTTGAAGAGCTGAAACGGCGTGCTTATTGCAAGTACCATAATTCATTTTCTCATGCTACTAACGATTGCAATGTTTTTCGACGACAGATACAATCGGCCATTAATGACGAACGATTGAATTTTGCTGAGATGCAAGTTGATAAGCAGCCCTTCCCCATAAACACCATAGACTTGGAAGGGAAGAAAATGTTAATTTGGCCTAACATAGCCGAATCCGCTAATAAAGATAATGTTGTTATTGGTGAACCCAGAAATAGCAAGGAGGGCGACAAGGTCTTGGGAAGAAAGATTGTGCTTGAGAAGAAACCCGATGGTAAGGAAGACCGGAGTCCGAGTTGGACTCGGCCTCCGCCGCGCCTTGCCCCCTACTCCAAGCCGCCCCGCCCCGTCCTTTATATACGCCGCCACCCCGCCCCCAACACCACACCACCACCGCCGCCCACGCCGCGCCAAGCCGCGCCGCGCCAAGCCACCGCCGCCCCCTAAGCCGCCGCCCGCCGGACCTCTCGCCGGAGGTAGCCGCCGCGCCCCGCCGCCGGTTTTTTTATAAAGACCGTTCGGTTTTTGTTTAGAAACCCTAGATCCATTTTTTTCCGGATTCGCCGGTTTTCTCGGTTCTTCTAATTAGCGGACGTTCGTCCAAACGTTCGTTTTAACGAACGGTTCCTCGCGGTTAGTCACAACTAACGAACGCTCGCTCGTTAGTCTGTTCATGAGTTTTCTTTTATCAGATTTATTCCGCGATTTTCTCTGATCGCGATTTCTGATCCGATCTTAGATTCTGTTTATCTTTTCGCTCGTTTATCGGAATCAGGCGATTCAAGCGCCTAGAGTTTCGTCTCGAAACCCTCTTTCCGGTTAATCAACTCAAACAAGTTTTCTCTACTGTAAAATTTGACCTAAGTTCAGATTAGTAAACGAAGTGGTTTTCTTCCGCCGTTTGACTTTCGTTGCTTCGTTTGTTTTGATTCTTTTTGCGTACCGGAGTTCTTAAGTTGAACTTTCTGGTCAACCTCTCTTATTTGAGTTTTGCTTGTGCATCGTTGCTTGTTACTTATGTATGTTATTGTTTGCTTGCGACAGAATTTCCGGAGTGCGAAGCGTGTTACTACGAGTCTCTAGGATTCGCGGATCGTCAGCAAGGCAAGTAACACTTTGATCATATCCCATTATTACCCAGTTTTTATGCATTAGTTCCAATCCTCAAACATTGCATGATTAGGATGTCATTATCTTGTGGGTTGGGAAGTAGTTGCTGAGGTAGAACCTATTGCCCTGTTATATTCAAACCCTTGGGAGTTACTTCTACATATTGCTTATATTGCTATGCTATGCTCGTAGACGTGGTTTGGGTTTGAGTGAAATTCATGACAGATGTGAGATTGTTAATTAATGGTTCAACTTAAGGTGGCAACTTAATCAAACAACTGGGTGGATTGAGGCACCTGGGGAACCTAGTGTTGTCTGTTTATTTTGGAAATCCCGGGGTACCCGTGTGATCTTCCTATGGACCGCCACCCAGGCTCAAAGGGAACTGAGATGATTCATGCTAGAAACTTCCGTGTGCAACCACAAGCTATTATGGGCTCTGGCATAGTTGAGTAAGTTACGTGAAGCTCTTAAAGAGGTAGATCAGCAGGTAGTGGGTTTGGTAGGTTTGGTATGGTCTACCCGGAGTAGAGAGT